ATTGTTGTCGTCGTCCTGCAAATCTAGCTCATATCAGACCAGTCTGGGATTTCTTTTCAAAGACCACCCCGAAGATAATCAGGGATAAAAGTGCCATGATTGTGGTGGGCATGTCGACATGGAAGTCATGCCACCTCCAAATTGCAGCGGAGTGTGGTGGGCTAACTCGACACGGTCAAAGGCTCGGCCAGCCAAGCCAGCCTAAGAGGAATTGTAATAGAAGTGCCGGTTACTCCACAAGGTTTTCTGCATATTAATTACGGTAGATGCCAGATTACCAGCTGTCATCGTGATGGGCTCGCTACGACGCTGAACATGTGCTCGCAGGTGCTTGTTCATAGCAGCAAGAAAAGCGAACCCGACTACAGAACAGCGGCCCGGTGAGTTACTCGGTGACTAGACTATGTGCTGGTTATGCCAAGCATTATGCAGCTCAAATGGACGGTCTACATTTGGAAATACCGTATGCGAAGCTTCAAATTCAGATTCCAGGGAACGAATCATCTTCTGCGCAAGTCTATTGGAGCAAGTAATGTTGCGGTTCCTTGGGTCACGGGTCTAAACGGCGAAACCACCCGATTTTCAACATGTGTCACTGTGCTGGTGGTCTAGAGCTCGACATGCATGTCAATCGGAGCAAGTACTGTAATTTGTTGAGAGAGTAAACTGGTACCAAAGGGGCTGATAGCTTGTAGAATGACGAGAGAATCCAACACCAAATGCAATTGTGGTGGGGTAGTCCAACGCGAACGTGAAAGTATCAACCCTGGTGCATGGCCACCGTATCAAGTAATGGTCTTGAATTGGATGGTCACACAATCATCAACTTGCAAACATCATCTGCACTAGATGCTAACAACTGACCATATTCATTGGCCACCTCTAAACAACTATTCTCTTGAAGTGCTTGAGACTCCCGTGAAAACGTTCCCCACCCAGACCTACAACAGTGAGCCTTTTTAAAATACAGGTGGTTTGCAACAACGATTTGGCTTCTAAGTTGGCCCCCAACGCCAGCTTCCTCTTCCTCTTGCTCTTTCTTTAGGATGTCCATCCTGATAGACTACTCGGGTCCAGAATATTATAGAATAGACTCCAAATTTAGCATCACCAATGGGATCAGATCATGTGAGCGTGTCGATTGAAAACTTGTGTCCCCCAGCCTTATTACGACAGCATTGCATGGGCACATGTGGCTTTTGTAAAACGTTGATCGTTGTTTACTGTGAAAGACGAGAGTCACCTTCCGGTCACAACAGTTTAGAGTATCGAAGGAGTAGGTCGAAGAGAAGATATATCCGATCAAGTTGTCCGTCGGTCAAGAGTCGCTTTTTCGAGCAAATCTCAACCTTTAGTTTGTGGCCCAATTAAAGTGTGCCAAGGAAAATATAAAGTAAAATAGTTCATCACAATTAAAAGTATTTCACGCCTATTTCTAATTGTGATTGAAAGTGTTTGTGATTGTGCTAAGACTTCTTTTTTCTTTATCTAAATCAAAGGTTCCATGTATTATAAGAGCATCATGTATCGTGAATATTTTTTAATGTATTTTACCCGCTACTGCTCTTTTTAAAGCAATAGGTAAATTTTCAAGAAAAGATTATATGATGGGTTAATTAGAATGATAACATTTTCAGTTAAGTATATATTTGTAAAGATATATATACTATATGTAAAGATGAAGAGAATGTATTTGTTACTTTTCCTAGGTACGAAAAAATTAGACTTGCTCATAATATAGATGTGGAGAATTTCTATTCTTTATTCTATTTTTTTATTTAGATTGTTATATTAAATACATCATTAGTTACCGTTCTCTCTTACCGTTTAGTCTACCGAATGCTCTTGGCACTAGCTAGGGATTAATCTTTAGATCTTTTCACTTGTTTGTGGTTTTTAGGTTGTATTGTGTTTTTCAACGTTTTGACCCTTTGGGGTCCCCGGGTTTGATATATTACCATTTACTATTTAGAGCAAGCTCTCGTACTCCCATGTTGAAAGTTTGTAGTCGTAGCATATAACTCCAGAGAACATAGTCCCTAAATATAAAAAAGCACCCTTTTAGAAGCTGGTCACAAGTAGTTCTCTAACCACAATATGAGAATCTCAAGTTGTTTATCATCATCCCAAAATGCGTTTGCCCTGACCCAATGACTACCGATATTCATTCCATGGGATGTATACGCCTTTGTAGCGCCGAAGAAAATTTCACATGCACAATATATAGCCAAACAAAGGTCCAAGGTAATATTACATTCACATTTAAAAATCACGAGCGAACGAAGTCGATGTAGATGCATAGCCATGGCTGCTCGGGATGTGTCGAACGCGGTCGTCAACAGCTTCAGGACCAATACAATTGGTCGACGAGGTTGCTCGACCACGGTTCTTCTTGTACAAGATCGCGAGGCACACGCGGAAATGTCAGATCAGATCGGAAGCAGATGTTTGCGGACACGGGTGCTCGACAAATTACGCAAGCCAAGTATGCGGCTACTGCACTGAAATTCGAGGGAGAGACCTCTGTCGGTCTACCGAACACGGGCTATGTCCGATTGGTGCCCGAGGGCTTGCGGCATTATTCGGCGCTGTGGCTGCAATGAGTCGGGCCCTGGTCGAGTGTGGCTCAAATTCTACGTCGAAGAAAAAGTCCGCCGGAATCAGAATCATCCATAGCCCCTGCAGGCTCCCAGACTATTGCTGTAACCCAATCAGTCACAGGCGTTGGGGTTCTCAATCAATAGCGAAGAAGAAGAAAGCGAAATCGTACAGTGGCGGGCACACGACGACTCGGTCGCCTCGACGAGCCCTGCCTGGGTGCCTGGGTGGGTGGGTCGGCCGAGCGTAGGGAGGAGATCCCGCAAGCAGACCGAGGAGGCGATTTAGGGGCCGCTACATTGCAGGCCTGGGTGCTGAGCTGAGCTGAATGCGAAGGCGATGGCGGTGGAGGGAGGAAAGGGGGTTGACTCTGAATGCTGTTGGCAGAGGGAGGGAGGGAGGGAGGGAGGGAGGGGGCCAGACGAGGGCGACGAGGGGGGGCCGGGTGAGAAATATCCGAGAAGATCATGGAGTCAAATGCGAAATGCGACGACGCTGTGACGTGTGCGTGTGCCGGGACGGGCTGCACAGCGAGTGAGTGCGTCGAGATCGCTTGCTCGCCCTTTGCGTTGCGACACGATGCAGCCGGGCACGGGCACGGGGACGACAGCCCACCGGGTCACATGCCGAATCTCGTCGACCATGCCTCCGCCGTCCGTCCGACCGACCCTGCCAAGATTCCCCATCCCATCCCATTCCGAAGCGCACCGCAGAGTTCCTCCACGAGTGAAGCTTCCCCGGGTCGACGAGTTGACGTCGATCGCTGCCCTTCGATAAAATATAGATTTGACTTTTTTTTTCTCCATTTTATCACGCCATGTAACAATCACACTGTATCCTTAAACATTTTCTCCCTCGTACACTTTTGCCCCCTGTATCCTAAATTGTTATTGGAAGGTAATGATATCGATCGATCGAACGGAAAAGCAAAGTTTCATCACATCTCGTAATCGCCCCAAGGCAAGTTCCTTTGAAATGGTAAATTTTTCTCTGATCTTCGAGGCGAGGGGGGAGAGGAGAATGGAGGGGGGCGGGACGGGACGGGTCGGATTCGAACGATGTCGAGGCCCAGAGGCCATCCAGCCCATCCAGCCGCCCATCCAGCAAGTCGTCCACGGTCTTTCTCCGACCTCGTCTGCCAGACGGCCACCGCTGGTACTGCTGCTGCGGCCTAAAGAGCCATGAAGAAGGGAACCATGTCCGGGAAGATTCAAACATTAAATAATGCGGAAAACCAGTTGGGGCCTAGGCCTGGGGTGCTAGCTGGGCCCAACTCTAGCCAACTCATCCGCGGCATAGCTTTCCGCTTCGGGTCGTCCTTTCGGTCCCTCTTCTTCTTGCACTATTTATTCATCTTTGTTTACTCACGGAACCATAGTCCACTTCTGCAAGCTCCTGCGGCATCAATGAGTGTTGTGTACACCAACCGCAGTTTGCTTCTCCAAGGCTTACCTGACCGGTGGACATTCCTGCGGCCCCGACGCCCGACGCCCGTGAGAGAGAGTGCCCTGTATCGGGGACATAGACTTTTCACTGCTGTATAAGTATATAACCATGGAGAGTATACCGCAAGCTCCAGCACGGCTCTAACACGTAGATTTATTGATTGGGATTCTCTGATACATGTACAGCACTAGAGTCTGTTCTGGTCTGATCTGATTCAGACAGCAATTGCAACCGAGAAGCTGCGTGCTGTTGTGCCAACCACAGTCGAATTCGTCCTGCTCTACAAGGATACCACCACTGATACCACTTCTCCTGAGGCTCTTGTTCTTCCACTACTAGTACAATCGCGCGATTGCAAGTTCAGTAGAAGACGGCCAGCGCCGAGCGAGAGAGAGAGAGAGAGAGTACTTCGGGTAGAGAAGGGGTGAGACTAGAATTAAGCGACTTGGGGACGGAGAGGAGAGGACCGAGGTGGCGGTCTGGGGAAGCGGTGGGGAAGTACTACTGAGGGGCACATGTGTGCAGTCGTCTGCTGATCTCGCGGTGGCGTGCACACAAGCACATGAACGGCAGCAAAGCGCAAGGGGGAAGCCATCTTCGCGGAGCGAGCTCCGTCGTCTGCACTCTCCCTCCCTCCTTCTCTCCCTCTTTCTTTTCCCCCTCGCGAGCCAGCCATCTGGAACAGCACAGACAGACAGATGACAGAGTCGTTTACTTAATTTGTGGACTTTTCCGGGCTTGAGTGTGTTTCGCCACCAAATCGTCGCCTCTCAGACTCGCTTAACTCCGCGCCTTCGCTGGCCCCCTCCGGCCCTGCGGCCCTCCCTCCCTGCCTGAGCCCGGCCCTCACCTCACCTGGCTTCCCGTCCCGTGCCTGGCCTGGGCTGGGCTGGCCTCGGGCTCGGGCTCGTCCGTCTTGCTTGTTCATGTTCTGAGAGCATTTGACGAGACTCGTCATTGCTGCTGCTGCTGCTGCTGCTGCTCCGGCTGCCTACCACTATTTCAACAGGACCCGCTTCCTTCTTTCGCCTCTGTGTCTGTCTGCCCGCCTGTCTGTCCCTCCGCATTCATCACTGAACGCGTTTCCTTCCCCGACACTCTCAAGTGCTGGTAGAGAAACAAACATTCCGCATCTTCTGCTGTTCCATCGGGCCTCGTCTCGTCCTCCTCCTCCTCCGTCGTCGTGCCCCTACTGCTGCTTCTGCTTCTGGTTCTGGCCCCGGAGCTGCTGCTAGTGCTAGCGCTGGTAGAAGTAGTAGTGCCCACAGCATTCGGTCTCCTCTCTCTCGCTCTCTCTCTCTCTCTCTCTCTCTCTCTTGCTCGCTCGCTTGACGCACGACCACGAGACGAGGGCAGCGGAGGGGAGTGGGGGAGGGGAGGGGTGACGGGACGACGTGCTCATGTTGCTATGGTATGAAATACGAGAAAGCCTGGATCAACTCGAACATTGTAAATATCCTGAAATCTGCTGCTGTTTCTGCTGCTGCCGGTTACGGGCCGAGCATCAGGCGGAGGCGGAGGAGGAAGAGGACGTGCAGCATCAGCGTCGGCATCAGCAGAGAGGAGGCCGAGTAGTACTTGCTGCACATTTACGTTTATTACAGCTCTAATGAGGAATCCAGGGAGTACAGGAACAGGCTCAGGAATGGTGATTAGAAGCGCGCTCGTATCGTGGCTGCGATTCCTAGTTTTGGCATTCCTCGTGTGCAGCTCGGACGCATCTCGTGGACTTAGGCTCAGTTTGAGAGGTGGTGGGCAAGTAGACGCGTCGCCGGGCACAATCCATGAGCAGCAGCTGGGCACCGAGCCCGCGGTGCAGCAGCTGCTGCTGCTGCCGGAGCACACCCTCAGGAGATTACTGGCCGGGGCCGAAGCGACCTTAAACACGGGGGATTTCGAGGAGATTTCCGAATGCAATTTGGAGAATTTGCACGAGTGCGCGCCCCCGGCGCTCGGGTCTCAATTTCCCACCTTCGAGTCCAAGAAGGAGGTGCCCAATGGTCCCAACCCGCTTCACAACTAGCGTGATTGATTGGCCGGTAGGATTTTCTGTATTCACGATCACACCCATACCCGAGAGGAGGAGGACGGCTGCAGAGATTTAGATTCCTCCCACCGGACGACAGCAACAATGTAGAGCTGGGATGCACCTACCGACCCGGACAGACAGCCAGCCAGAGCTCGCATCCCTCAGCCTCCCAGAGCCGCGTTCTTTTCTTCGACTTGTATCATTCATTCTGTAAACCTGAAGAACGAATTCGACTCACCACCACTCTTGGGAACACTGTCTCACGAGGATTCGTCGGCTGTGCGTGTGGATCTAATCTATCATCGCTGGAATTCCAGAACCAGGCCGTGCCCGTGCTCGTGGCTCGCTCGGCCTCGCCGTTCAGTCGGTCCATCCACCATCACCTACACCATCAGATTAATAAATGAAAATCCTCGTGGGAGGGAGCGCCCTCGGAGCAAGGGCAGTTTAGACAGAGATCGCATAGAAGAAGAAGAAGTGGAAGAAGAAGAAGACGAAGACGAAGGGAAGACACCTTTTGGTAGACAGCGCCTATAGTGTTACATTAGTACTGTAAAGTACTTACATGAGTACTTGCTCAGCTTCATTCACATTACCAATTTTTTCATACAGCTGTTTTGTCGCTCGAGTTTCCATCGTTACTGTCGGTCGTCGTTGTCGCCGCCGCCGTTGCTGCTGCTGCTGCTGCTGTGAACCAGGGAAAGATTTCATCATGAGTGTGCACGAGGACGTGGGAGAGAGGGAGAGTGGGAGAGGAGAGGCGAGCAGATTTGTTGACTTGGACGCGCAGTGAGTGAGTGGGTTGAGCTATTGCAGTATCACGACCATTTTATCCATCTATCCATTCAATTCGATCGAGGGGCATGCGGGCGAGCTGGCGAGCGGGCGAGAGTGAGTAGGAGAGTGGAATCGTAAAACCCCAGGAGTTTACAAATAGGGAATCGATCGAGGGCAGCAACTTTTGGCTTCTCCGCGGACACGAGAAGAGGAAGACGATGAAGCAGAAGTTGCTCACGGGGTTGTACTCTTCTTTTCTTCGACGACCTTGGACCTCTCGAACATGCCGCTCTTTGAAACACCATCATCATCACCAACCATCCTTCTTTTCTTCGAAGACCTTGGACCTCTTGAACTTGCCGCTCTTCGAGACACCATCATCATCAGCATCGGCCTTCCAGAAGGAGGATTCAGCTTACGGATGAGCTTGTTCCAGCTTCTAGGCACACTCTTTCGGCTGCAGGTGGCAGCAGTGGCGGAGACCGAGGACGAGAACGATTCCATGACGGAGGGAGCGGGCTTTGGCTGATTGACGAACGAGGATCGATTAATCAACATCGACGAGGACGACGACGACGACAGTGGGTGCGGAGAGGAGGATGGTGCGAATTGTATGTGATTAAAATCCGTTCTTAGACGTGAGTCGCTGTGAAGTCGTAGTGAGTATTAGATGAGTCGGTGAAGTCGGTAGCTGGTGCTGCGAAGATGGATGTTATGATGCAAGCTGTTCGTTCGGGGAGCTTTTTTAGAGAGATTTTTTAGACTGCATCGAAACGAACAAAGATCGAATCCTCGAAGATGTTTAATGGCCGTGACATATACGAAATCATTCTTTCAAAAAGTAGAATTAATAAGTGAGTCAGCAGCTGTCAATTGCAATTGCTATCAAGGGAAGAGGCAATTGATCCAAGATGAGGAAAGCTCCCGTGCATATATACATTGATGATGAGTTTCCCTCTCTGCAATTAGACTCGTGGCCCGTTGATAACCATCCATATCTGTGTTGTGAATAATTTTATATTTGAAAAATCGAGGTGTTGTTGGTCCTTGACACCCTCGCTCACGGTGCCCAAGGAACTGTCGCACCTTTCACTGTAACTGGGATTTTCATTTTTGGCATGAATAGCAGCTGCTCGCAAGCAGCGCGAGCAGCTAGCAGCGGGTCACTTTCTGTCTGTCTGTCACTCCGCCCTCCTTTTCTCCTCCTCCTTTCGGTACCTGCTTGCCACTGCTTACCGCATGCACCCCAGTTCCGACCTGTCTTGACATTGTCACCGTAGCTTTCCGGTCAATTTCCCTTTCTCGGACCCGGAATGCCACGTCCATGGTGTTGAGCCCCTGATCCGCCCCAGGTCCACTGCAGATCATGTGCATCCGTCTGTTCTTTTCCAAAGTCCATCGAGTGTCTCGTTCAGATGATACATTTTGAACTTATACAGCCCCAATCAGTCACAGCTGGCTCGCTCGCTCGCTCGCTCGGAGGGAGAGAGAAAGCCGAGGTTTGCAGCCATGATGGTGCAAGCTCAGCTCAGCTCAGCTCGCAAGAGCCAGCAGCTGCGCTCGTTGGTGTAAAATTTCGCGCCTTCAGGAAGGACTGGGCGAAAAGAGGCTCGTCGTGAGATAGGGAGGGAGGGAGGGAGGGAGGGGGCTGACGAAGAAGTCACGATCGGTCATTGGGTTTGGCAAGCTTTTTGGTTTGGTTGGCGCCTTGGTTGTTGGCCTGTGTTTGGTTCTGGCTCTCGTCTCGTCTCGTTTCGTTGCAGCGTTGGACTCGATGATGAAAGAAAGCTGTAGATTGACCTTTGCTTTGACATGGGAGCAGAAAAGCGAAGTCGGGCTCGTCTTGTGCATGGCTCGCTCTGCCATAGCACTCATTCGCTCGCTCTCTAGCTGGGCCTACTCCCTTCGCGTCCCTCGCTACCAGCCCTTGACTCGACTCCTTCACCCGAGTACGAATGCCACAGCTGGCATTTATGGCCCGGCCTGCAGGGGACGACGACGGAGCGACGGAAGGAAGGCAGGCAGGCAGGCAGGCAGGCAGGCGAGAAACATTGGAGGGAGGGCTAGGGGCCATTCGGCTCTCGTCTGAACGAATGTCGAGCGAGCGAGTTGCAGAGTAGGTCGGTCGCCCGGGCAATTATGAGCGGCGAGTCTCGTCCAGGGCCGGCATCGATCCTTCACGAATCAGAGCCCAGAGGCATCTCTGGAGGGCGCAACTGGATCGAGCCGAGGCGAGCTGGATCGATTCACGAGAGCCAGATGCAGCAGTACTTACTCACTCACTCCCTCACTCACTCAGTCCCTCAGTCCCTCACTAGCTCGCTCACTTGCCGACCGACTGAGGGGGGGGGGGGGGGGGGGGGGGGATTGGTGTGGGCTGGAAAGTGTATCTCGAGACGTTAATGCCCGGGGGTGTGCTCGCGGGGACAATTTAGCCGTTACTGGTAAAAGCGCACCCTCGATGGGATCGGGGAGGCGCGGGCGCCGGCGGTGGTAACTAATTTGGGATTCTGATCCCTCGGGGCTCAGAAAAAGCGTTTCGGGGAGATTACCAAACTCCCTTCCATCGCTGGCCCTCCCTCCCTCCCTCCTCGTGCTGGCGGATCCGAGCTCGGTGTCGGTCTTCTTGTGCCCATGGCTCGGGCCGAGCCTTCACGAGCTCAGCTCAGCTCCTCTGCTCGACCTTGTGTCGGGGCGTTTTAATTCTCGGGCGTTCGCAAGTGTTTCTGCTCGAGGAGCTTTGATGCTCTGCAGAGAATTCGAGTAAGAGGTCAGTGGAGGGTGAACTCACTGGCTCGAGGAAGCTGATGCCATCTTCGATCAGGTAGATTGTGCTTCCTAGGCCTGGCTGGGGCTCAGAGGGCAGCAGCAGCCGGAAAGCGATGCAAACCTCGAACGAACTGTTGTTGTCGTCAGCCCCCCATGGCCTGTCCTCGGAGGAGGCGAGCGGAGCTGAGGGAGGGAGGGAGGGAGGGAGGGAGGGAAGGGATGATGAATGTGCGGTAAAGCAGAGCAGGGAACCTCGAGAACTATTTGCCCGCGTGCCTTGAATCGTGTCCTGGGAGAACTGTTTGCGATCAGCCTTGCATCGGGCTGACCATGCTCGCCCATGCTCGAGCGAGAGATAGAGAGATATCGTTACATGGTTCTGCTCTGATCTGCTCTGCTCTGCCCTGCCCTGCCCCGGGCCTGGCCTGGGCTTCTCTGCCCCGCTGTGTACGGGACGGGCCATGGGAAGTTAGTTGTCCGCGTGCGATGCAACGCAATGCATTGTGGATATAATGTTGCCCGCCATGGTACACATCTGGAAAAGCTGAAGCTGAAGCTGTGCCTACGGCCGGCCCCCACCAGATCACCGGTCGTGCAGTTGTTACGGACCGAAGCTTGCGAAGCATTCGGAGATGTTGGCCTGAGCAGAGGGGGGCATCACTACCGAAATTGCATCTCATAACGAAATAATAATTTCCTGTCGCAGCCTTTCAGCCGACGTATGTACTTACTGGAGTGGGCCAGCTGGACCGAGCCATCGGCACTGCTCCGATCGAAGCAGCATGGCTGAGTCGATCCCCATCCGAGCAGGAGAATGTGCGACCCCGTAGTTGTATCTATCTTGCGGTAGAAGTGCGACGAGATGTTTGATGTTGAGGACGGGGGAGGGGGGAGGGGCTCATCATCAGCACCATCATCACCGAGTCCTTATCCATCTCGACCCAAGTCTTGAGGATGCGTCGAAGCTCGCGCCTTGGATCTAGAGACCGCAATCGCCACTCCAAAGAGTGGGACAAACGAGATTGAATAGGCATATAATGTGCACTCGCTCACTCATTCAATAACCATCTCCAAAGAAAGCCAGCCAGCCAGCTCGCCCGCCAGCCCGCCCGCCAGCAAGCAAGCAAGCAAACAAGAAAGCACCGTGATGGTGGTGGGGCTCCCCAGCCAGCAGCTCCATCGGGGCCCCACTCACATTTGCACTCACACTCCCACCTTTCCGAGGTTCTTCATTCTCTCACGGTCTGGCTCAAAAATGCAACGCGCAGGTAGTGGTGGTGCATCGACCCTCGCCCCCACCTCCCCACACCTCGTTCCATCTCCCCCATCGCCTCCGCTGCCTTTGGGGACCTTTGGGACTCTGGGACCAGTTGAAATCTGCAAGGCCGGCATGGCATGCAGAATTACAAAATACTCGAAGCAGATGGTGCTGCTGCCAGAATGACTGATGGCTGGGTCCAGACTTCAGAAAGGAGATGTGAAGTTTACTCGAGAGTCAGAGCGTGGCGGGCCATTCATTTCGACCAGGGACATGGCGAATCCGATAGTAAGATGGAGGAAGCAAGGAATCCAGGAAAATTCGAGAGAAGAAGTCGATATGCCATCGTGGGTCACTCCTGCACGTGATGACCGTGCCAGGCACGTGAGAAATTGCAGAGCGGTGGGGTAGGGATGCTCTGAGGCAGGCAGCAGGCAGGCGTCCATTCTTCCTTCCTGTCAATCCTCCAGAGGCCAACACTCCATGCAACATCCAACTGCTGCTGCCTCTGCCTCTGCCTCTGCAGTTCCCATGCCAGTCGGTAGTAATACTACTAGAAGAAGAAGTGATATTGGCAGAAGTCCTCCTCCTCCTCCTCGCCCCTCGCCCTCCCAAAAGTGCAGCAACAGACCGAATCGACCAATGCGGCCGCTATGGTTGGTCCTCTGGATCCAGTCTCTGGTGACAGATCCTAACAGCTGCTGCTGCTGCTGCTGCTTCCTTCTCGCTCCCGAGGTGAGAGAGAGAGAGAGAGGGAGAGAGAAGATAGCGGACACGAACGCAGATTGTTTGTTGAGCCTCGGTCGAGATTTTGCGGGCATTAATTCCTCCTCTCAGGCTGTTCATTCATCGTCGCACACATACCGAGATCGCCAGGCGCATACATTTCTGTCATTGATGGCCCAGAGACTACGCGAGGACGACGAGGAGCAAACGAAGAGTCTTTCGTCTCTTCTTTTTGATCATTACCATTAATACTCTGCTGCCAGAAACAGCTCGAGGGAGAGTGGTAGGCGACCCCTTTTCCTCCTTTTGCCCTTCTACTTTTGCCCATTGACAGATTTATCTCAAATCCATTCCCATGGCAGCATCGGACTCGAACATATGCTCCGGCCAGGGATGGGGCAAAAATGAAAAGAGAAGATGTATCATCACGATCCAGACATACACTTCTGTCAAACGCTGTTGAAAGTCCGCATCTTGTGTTCCGTAGATTCCATCCCCATCCCTCCCCAGCCCAATCCTGGTCCTGTCGCATCCCACTAGCTGCTTCATCTTCATCTTCTGGGCATGATTACCATGGTAACCCACACCACACCGCCTCACCTCACGACAACTTGGGTATCACATGTCTAACGAAGACTTGATCAGCTGGCAAAATTCATCCAAATCTGACAATCATTTGCAGACGCACATAGCCTCATCTCGGGCTCTTCGCAAAGGTGGAATACAAAACCTTGCAACATGGAGATCTCCCCGTTATATTCCTCTGTGCATCTGGTTGGATATCCATCATCGCTTGTCATGATGGTTCTGGATGCCTTTTTCTGGCAAAAGGTCTGCTTCTTCTACAATGAGCTGGTCCACTTCGGTAGATTCTGCCTTTTATTTTTTATGATTTCCTCCCGGCATGCCATTGTTGAGAGAGGTTTGCGGGGAAGCGGTCCACCTCTTGTGTTCATGATTGTGTCATCGTCGCGAGTGCATCGAACTGTAGATGTAATTTCTGAGCATCAGATGGAGAGGTGGAAGAAGAACCGACCGACAAGTCCATGCTCCGTTCACCTTGCTCGCGCCTCGCACGCACACACACACTCACACAGCTACAGCTGGTCGTGACGAAAGTCATGAAAAACGTGACACTTGTCTCTCTGATACATCCATCACATGATGCCTACAATTTTTGAACTCTGATCCAGATACGAGTTGCATCAACGACAAGTGATGACCCATAATTTGTTGTTGTATCCTCCATCTGGGAATTTACAGTTCGGAGTCGCAACCATTGAGGGTTGAAACATGCACATGAAACACCCAAGCTCCCGCAGTGGGCTGATCTGCGATGCTCACCGTCGAGAGAAAGGTGAACAGCATGGAGGTTCCTTCGTTCGTCCTTCGAATTGCCATTAGTTTTCGCGAGCGTGTGTTTCTTGGAGAGCTGCAAAAGTTGTCCAGACTGAAAGAGACAAAGGCGAGCGGAATCTTTCTATTGTTTCTTATCCTTGAGAAAGAGAACAAGCAAACATAAAATGAAAAGAAAAAGGTTGGCCAAAGAGAGAAAAAAGAGTTCCGGCTTCCGTCTAAACCTTCTTATGCTCCGTGTGCCTCTGAATTTCTGAAGAATGACGATCTGTGAGACGGGATCCTGAAAGTGCAGAGGAGGAAGATCGGCCCTGAAGCCTCATTTTGCATGGCGAGGCCGAAGCTTGCGAGCAAGGCGAAACAAAATATGATTTCATTGATGATGTCCACAAGAGTGGATGCAGCACGCGAGCGGGGAGTATGTTGGGTTTCATGGACCAACCATCAGCACCACCCGCACCTAAGGCTACTGGAATGTTTCCTCTTGTCATCATTTGAGGCCGAGAAGAAATATCTCCATCCATGTTTCATCTATGATTGCAGGCCTCCTAGCTTCTTTTACCTTGCCAAGCAGGGCATGCACATTATTACAGCCAGATGTTCTTTTCACCCTAGAATCTATCTCCGCTGAGGTAGCTCACTGACTTTCTGTGTCATCTTTATTGTCTGGACATTCATGGCCCAAATAAGATATATTATAATGCCTGTGTACAAGCTGAGAAAATCGATGAGCGATCAAATATGCTATCGAGTTCTTTCTTCTACTTTCCATTGTCAATCACAAGTCAATGATAGAGTATTTGCCCCACATCCTATTATCGCTTACTGTACATCTACAAACTAATCTTCCTTTGACAGAAAGAAGATCTCCTTTCTGTCAAAGGAAGATAATCGTCCAGAAACCAATCATTTATGGCCAAATTATGCATTTTCTATGGATTCAGGATTCAGGATTCAGCAACCTTGGATCAAATGTGCTCACGAAAGTTACACTAGACGCTCGAGCGTGTACAAAGTGGACGGGTCTCAAGATCATATTTCTGGCTTTGCCCAGGACGTACGATCCAGTAGAGGAGGACTGCGAGCGAGGGCAATAAGCATTAAGCCCAACAACTCAAACCATACGGACATACGTCTCTTGTCCAAGACAACCTGGAACCCCAATCAATGTGTCTGAAAGAGCTTCGAGAGGGCTCCCAACCAACACCCACCCGAAAAGAAAAGGCGTGGACGCCAAACCATCAATGGCTCCTAGAGGAGGAAATGGACGCCATGTCCTCCTTCAAACTCCTCTCGTCGCAACCTACATCTATGGAATACATGGGGTTCCGAAAGCCTCAGCTCAATACAGTACAGTACACGTCCCTGAGCTGGATGAGGACGCCTCATACGAACATGTCCAGCGTCCCGTATGAGCTGCAAGGGTCTTCAGCAGTCTCGTCCCAGACTGCTGAAGCTCTGAACTGAGTCACCCGAGGCCAGTGACCAGTGACCAGGTGCGGCAGCCTACAAGAGCCCATGATAATGCTAGAGGCGGACGTATGGGTTGACGAGCGAATACGGTACGTGCTGTTGATTGCCTGTAACGCAGTATAAGATCACGATACAGAGGAAATGGTCTCCAGGATCACACTCTGTCTCTGGCACTGAGGCGGAAGAAGAGAGCAGACAGAGCAGAGGACGGGCAGAGTACGATCTTCAGATTCTTGGAAAGGAGGGTATATGGATGTACGAACCTGATGTCAATCTTGCATAAATAAATGTCCGATCAGGCCAAATATACTAATTTAATGGGCGATCTTGGCATCGAGCTCCGACTTAACCAAGTTTCATCTTTCCTCTTTCATCTTTCTGCTCAGGTTTTGAATTTGACAGGCTCGATTTGACAGGAATGGAATCTGAAGCGTCTTCATCATTTTCATGAGATAAGGGTAATATTACTTTGCAGAAGATCTTCGGTGAGCTGGCAGAGTCGAGGGGAAGGTAGGAGGCAAACGTTGTTGGTAGCAGGAACTCCTCGAGCCCGCTTGGGAATTGGAGCGTGTGGTGATTGCCCTCCTGTCTCTCTGGCCTCGATCTTCTTCAAGGGCAAGGTTTAAGAATTCTTTAACCTTCTGCGCAAGAACCCAAGAATGTCTACTTTACGGTCACGAGGACTTTCTTTAGGACAGAGTCTGTTGCTAAGCTCAAGGCCAAAAACAGAGCGCTGATTGGTCTGCATACAGGCACAGAGTTCGATCCATGACAACATCGTGCTCCATGTATAATACTTGTTGGTATCAACAGTTCATGATTGACAATCCACAACTAGCCTGCCTTCAACGTGGCCTTGGTACTGTGTGTCACTCCAAACTTAGATTGCTGAACGTTGCAATTGGATCCACATATATCGCTGCTCATACGTCAGAGTCTCTGGCCCACGTATAATGTTACAAATGATGACTGATCCTTCATATATCGAACCAAGTGGAATCTTCCAGTAGATTTCCGTCTTTAGAAGTAGACGACGTTATTTGTTCGTAAGAATCAGACGCAGGCCAGTTCCATGGGAAGTCGTCGAGCTTCAACTTGCGTGCCAGGTATGCAAGGCTTCGATAGCACAAGGTTGAGTAAAGACTCTTAACTGCAACATATACATATACCGGGCCTGGAACCTTGGGGTTGTTGGGTTGTGGAAACTGTATCAGGATATGCTTCAGTATCAAATACTGAAGAGTCAAGTGCCGACTTCTCAAGTTTGTCCCAAGGACCACCACTTGGCACTCCACTTAGTGAGTGACGACAACACTCTCATGACGTACTCTACAAGAGCTGTATTCCTTTCAAAGCCCAACAATGACCATAAGATGTCAGAAATAACGAGACAAAAGCTGCTCTTCGACCTCCCCTGTCCAAGCTTGACCCTGGTACACTTCCGTTTGTCCCAGTCAGAGATATTCCGACTTCGTAACTTCGGAGCCCACAGTACCGTGTCTTCTGTGAATGAATTTCTGACTATTCCGTCGAAGAAGACGATCCAAAAAAGGCGTGCGCTTTCCGCGGCAAAAGCTCCACCTCTATTATGTGGATATTATTCTTTGGCTTGTCCACGGTAAATCAACCTCCTTCGTTCATCAAAGATCGCATTCAAGTGAATACCGAAATGTGGGAATTTAAGCCTGAAATGAATGCATGTCCCTTATGATCACGATATTTACAAACCAAAAGAGGCAGTCCTTCAGCCAGTGCTAGTCAAAGCTGTTGGCTTGCGGAAATCTCTGCATGAGCCGTAGTGGCCTCAGAGTACCTAGCGTTTACAGTGACAGAAGAACCTGATCGTCAGAAATCTTTCAAGAAAGGCTAAGTAGTCGAGTGGCTATCTTCCCAAATTCTAACACTACCTCTGATTACGGCGTCAGATGTACTCTACCACCTCCACATGTAGTGGACCCAATTACTTGAAACACCCAGAATCAGCATATTTCACAGCTGCCTATCTTCATATAAAGGCCAGGTATCATTAACCATGGGTACTCTTGACAGCTATCGGATGAGAACAATAGGGGCAATGCCCGAAAAGAACATCAAATGACCTGCAACGGAGACATCAAAACAATCAGTCAGAGGAAGTGTAGGAAACGTCTCATCGTTCATGTGTAGCTATCCTACAGAATTAAAAACCAGCAAAAGTCCTGATTATTGCAAAGATACAGTGAACACGAAGCATGCTCGTAATGAAGGTTGCAAATTCCTTTCAGATCAAAATTGAATGGAGTAGAGAGCAATACTGGCGAGTAGTTGTGATCGATCGTAGCCATTCCAAAAGACAGGTGTTATGAAACGGTCTTGCGCAATTTGGATTATCGCAAACGCGATCGGGGACGCTTCCCTGTAGGGTCCCCACATCCGAGCATAGAGCATCTTCACCACGACGGCGCAAAAGCCACCAAACTTTAGTTGGAGATCTAGCAACTGCCTGAATATTTCCTGTATATAACTTACCAACAAAGTTTTACAGTTCGAGAAAAGAATTTAGGATGCAAACTCTATCCCTCGCAGCTACTTAAATCGATTGTCGGCTGGACGAATCACGATCAATCACACACACACACAAATAGAATCCATGTGGTCTACTCAAGCTACAAGACCAGCTCAAAAGGTCCTTGAGATAGATTCCGGAGACAGATTCACGTGCTGAGGTCCAGAGATGGTAAGAACTAGAAACCCTGAGACTATCCTCGATGAAGAATATTCGCTAGCAACCAGCGCGGATGAGGCAATCGCATACCGTCTTGTGCACGATAGGCATAGCAGATGCCACAGTCAGCACTCATGTCTTCTTTGTCAGTTTCTTGGGCTGAAGGAAACGTTATCTCTAGCACTTCTTCAAAATTAGCTATCAGAGGCCGGCTCCGATCCCTGCATCATATAAATATAAAAAAACGTATCAGCCTGGCAAACATCAAAATGTTACGATGTATCATGCATTGCAATTTTACAACGATTCTCTTTACGAAGGTGAAAGGCATCGTTGAAGATCCTTGAGTCAGCATAAGAACGCGACCAATCTGTAGGACGAGGTAAAAGGTCAGAAGTCATCAACAATGATGTCATGATGAATGTTACCATTTCCTTAGTCCAGAATTAAGTCGTCTTCTGAGTGGAGATATAACTGCATCAGAACCAAAGAAACGGCACCTGACAAACGCGGTCACACGCCCATCAGCATATTTGACATTTTGTAAAAACAGCACCGGACTAAATTAATATGTAGAATTGCCGATTGACCGGTAAAAGTTACATCAATTATCGCTAGTTTTAGTGTACTCTCTATCATTCCTAAAACAGTCTCTTCAGGTCCAATATTACAACGTACCTTCGCTCCAGTTATAAGCGATGCAAAAGATAGATTGCATGCACGAGGAAGTTAAACTGTCAACCTGACATTATTGGGAGATTCCACGAAACAAAACAGAGAAATCTAGATTTTAAAATGAAAAGTTGCACTTCTTCAGGCAAACAGTTCATCACATACACCTGACAACGCAGTTTGGCACGTGAACGTACTCTGGAACGGATCGAGGTGAAAGAGGATCCACCACTATCGACAAGGAGCAATGACCACCTATTGATGAATCAAGGGATTCAAAACTTGTCAGAAGAGTCACACTTCTGCTCCATTTCAAAATTACTTACTACAACTTCGTCTTCGTCTTAGCTGGTCAAAGTTGTACGAAGGACTGTTGGATTATCTCATGGGCCCATGCATGGTCTAGCTCACAATCATTGCCTTCAGGTTTTCATAGAGACTCATGATAAAACTCCTGCCTTTTAAAGTATGCTCTGTGACGCATGAACCTTTTCGGAGTAATTTGAAATGGAATACAGCCACAAAAGTTCCCGAATTTCAAACAGATCGTACATCCAAAATTGGCTAGCTATTGAGTCACAGTATTAAGGGGACAAAAAACTGAAAGACACACACAGTTGTAACTCGGCATAGCTAGACACTAATTTGGTCTGCAAATCTATATGGGAACAAGCTCTCTTCCCTTGTGCAGGCATATGAACCATCTTGGCTCAATTGCAGCTGCGTTTATCCTCCAAGTTATTCCTGCTTGGTGAAAGCTAGAGCTCGAATTTACCACGCACTTGAAACAAAAAACTGAATTTCGCTTAACAATAAAGTAGTCACTGTTCAAACCATTTACAATTTCGTCACACAAATTCTAATTTCGTCATAATGCCCTAACAGTAGAGAAGTATGTAACGGATATTAATTTGATTGCTTTCTCTACATCCGGATAGATGTAATATTTTGCCATCATCCGGAAATTTGCAGAAGTTCTGATTTAAAAATCTGAGCTGGAAGTTTTAAAGTGGCATGGTCTTCGAAAGTATCAAGTATCAAGCAGAAATATCGTAATTGTATCAGACAAGATCCGCAATGAATCACTTACCAAGTGCGATGCGACGAAATGCATCAGCTCGAGAAGGATGATCGGGCTCCATAACCCATACTCTTTTGTCAACGTCCTCCATAACATCCCAAAAATCTTGATACGTCTCGATCGCCTAAAATATACGAAGCGTTTAAGTAGTTATCCTTCTACTCAGAAACGGATACATTATTGACTCGGGAGAACTGAACCAGGCACTTCATCAACTTGAATTTCAACCTCAGTGAAAGTATGAGAAAGAGTTTTCACCAAGGTCTTCCTACTGCTGTAAATTTCACAATTTTCAAATTAAGTATGCTAAAGGATGAGGAGGCGTACCGACTCGTACTGCAAAATTATGTCCTTCAGTGATTCGCCCTGAAGAGACCGGAGATCTACTGGAATCGGAAGATTCTACCAACACAGAATTGAATAGATTAACAATCTTGGTAGGTCCATACAGTCTGCTGTTACAAAAAGGAAATGTCAATGATGTCCCATGAACCATCTCCCTGTTCCAGAGTTCACTCCTATATTACTTAGTGTGACTACACAATTTAAGCTATGATCTATATCGTCAGCTCAACAAAGCGTGTAAAAAATTTATGTCTACCAGACTTCTCTAGGTACTTACAGCAGAGGCAGTAGGCGCGACCTCTGGGAACCCTGGTGGCAAGTCGACCAGCACAATGTGCTCTCGTCCTGCGCTATCACTGTGTGAAGAGACTGAAGTTAGATCAAGCTGGTGTACAATTTCTCTGACGTAGAAAAGCACAAGCATTCACAAGCCAGCGAATATAATAAAACTACTCTCTGAACCAGCCACTCCTGTCAACTGACAGCCTGAATGCGTTTTCCTGTATGTAAATCTACAAGAAAGAAGAGACCCAAAGTGAATAAACAAACGATTAGGACGTAATTTTGGTGAATGGATGTCCAGGATGACGTCAAAGCTCGACTAATCTAAGAAGTGAGACAGATGGAACACAGATTAAGATTTTATCAGGTACTCACAAAATTCTCAGGTGTAGGGAAGAGAGTTCATCTGAGAGCCAAATGAGATGTTCCCAGCCAACTGAATCTAGCTGCAAACGTTTCCAAGAACTATTCAGAAAAAAGTGGAAACATGTCCTTTTTTTGTCAAAAATAATTGCATTCTCATCGTTCAGACTCCAGGCGAGAACTAAGCTGAGCGGAACCAGGCAACAGAGGATCTACACCCACCTCCAGCAAGGGCAATGTAGCGGCAACAACTTTTCTCAATGATAGGAATTGAACTTTCTTTAAGCATCTCCCTGTTTTGCGGCTCACTTACGTTGGCGCAGAGTTGGGAATAAAAGGCTGGTGTCGGTAATGAGACAAATGGCTGTGTGCGTACAATACGCTCCTGCGAGTGAAGCAGGAAAAGATATAATACCAATGACTTCATACTTGCTTACCCATCCTCAACGTAGCACGTAAATCCTGGAACATGTCTTTAGTTTGTCATCAGAATTTGATCAAAAGCATTTCATTAGAGTCTTACCAAAATATCTTTGAGCTCCAGGACGAAGGTACTTAAATCGTAACTTTGCTTCAGTCTCTGTACATGACAAATGGCTTGTCTTCAAAATTCGAAATCAGAAATTGGTTCCTCACAGAAGCATGCAAAGCAGAGAACACAGGTCTCGAGGTGGCTAGGGAAAAACGACAGCATGAGCACCGGAAGGGTAAGCTGCACCTCTTGAACCACAGGTTCTACACCTCTAAGAATCGTACGGAGCTCCTCATTACACTCCAACATGGCATGCTGCAAAGATGCCTTGTCTCTGGGAATGTTGTGCACGGAAAATGAAAACTCCTTGCCCTGGAGTCAGAATAAACTGTTTCAGAGGTCTGAAACTTATCATACACAATTTACAAATAATTGACCATCGTGCAACTCTTCCAAATTCATCGAGATTCATGGAGGGATCAGTCATCGTTTGACCCTGCCAGCTCTTCGACTCTGAAGAAAAAAGCTGCATTTTGTGGAGTTTTCGAGTGATCTGTTGCATCGCTTAAAGTTGAAAGCAGGAGATGATATGAAAGCCTCAGTTGGAAGTGAGTGATGTCCACTGTATACGTCTCGGACACTTGTGAAATGTCGTAGGCCATTAAGGTGACAATATTCATCCGCAATTTGAACAATGTAAGAAAAAAAACAGAAGCTTCTCGTAAAAACATCTCAGCTATCATAAAAAGAATTTGCATTATGCGGAGCTTCGTTCAAACTTCTCAAACTCCACGATGCAAAATAATGTACGCACACGAGAGGCAGAGTGCGCAAGCGAATTTCAGCTCAGAAATGATGCAAGATTTCAACACCCACTACTCCTGGAAAACTATTTAGCATCCTACAATACTAACCTGCATTGGTAGGAGCACATGGTAGGCGGTGAAATCGCAATTGAGAGGCAGAAACAGCGGCTCCATCCCGACAAATCTGCTCTAAATTTCGAAACATTCAGCAACTGGATACCATCCGAAGCCAAATCGAGATTCCCGACATTAAAATCAAAGACTTTCCAATCTCCTCGCCCAGCCGATTCCATCCGCTCCCGAGCTGGAGATTCCCGCCATAAATATTCAAAGGAGGTCCGCGCTCTCCACGCCCTCGATCCAACTTTCTACAGTACAATGATCCGCGATGGGGGCCAACTTTGAAGAAGCCTCAAGAAGCTCGACAATTGTCCTGAACCTGAAACTCCCTCCAATTGCCCTGCTTTCGAATGTCGACCTTCATTCTCCGCAAGAGCGTCTCCGGCCGCGAAGAATTCGCGCTCGTCAGTCGTCGTCGTCGTCGTGACTTCGACACATCTGGAATCGGAAGTGCTGCTCCTGCTGCTCGTCGAGCCGGGCGACGGTCGAACGTGCCCCTCTTGTGGCCATCAATCGGCTCCGTTCACCTTCTTTCTTTCTTTGTTGTTGATTTGCTGATTTGCAGTTTCCTTCGTCTCTGGGAATTGTCGGAGTATGCGTCGTTTTCATCTCCACACACCCACGACCAGCATATTGATTGTAGGCGCTCTGATTTGATCTACTTCGAGAAGTATATTAAGACAGCATTCGACTCATGATTCACTTTCCATTTCGAAGTACTGTACAAAGTAATAACTGAACTCGTATCATTTCTATTTCCATTGTCATACTTTACTTTTTCGCAGATTTAATAATCAATTTTTAACACAAAGACTCTTAAAATATTGTATCAAGCACATTACGGTCAGATCACTATTGATAGGAGGTTCGACAAAATATATCTTGATCATATAACACTGCAAACTAAGATAGTATCCCTGTTAATCTCAACGTCACAATATTTCTGTTTAAACAAAATTATCGTTATTCAAACCTATCTGAAGCAAAACTAACTTCCGGTTTAAACTCACAAATTGATTATTTCATAATTTTGAGAATCTAATAGTAGAATTTTCAGTAATAGTGGAACTAATTTTTCAATGTCTTCAACACATTTATTGTTGAGGTGAATATGTTTCACTTTTTATTACTTAGTACCAATTTGATTTTTAATTTTCTAATGTTACTTACAAGATTTCATATGAAAAAAATTGATCATATTTTGATGTGTATTTAGAAAAAATGAAATGTAATTGCAACTGGTTCTTACTATCTTACCTAATCTACAAATAAATGAGCAAAATTTCACACGAAAAGTTTAGATTACAAATATAAATTGTAAGGAATATTTCAAATATGTAACAATTTCAAACTTATTTATTCTTTGATTTAAATTAATAAAAAAATTTATAAAAACACATCAAAAATTTAAAACAATATTCATAACTATATCATTTATGTTCATGATTTATTATTATTGTTGTTCAAAATTAATTAGCTATAAGTACTTAATTCATAAAATATTAGAGGAATATTTCAAGAAATAATTAGAAAATTTGTAATATGATCATAAAGTATGTATGATGTGAAAAATACATATAATTAATATTTCATGCATATTGTATAAAATTGATTTGATGTATTATTATCGTGCACAAATTGATATGTGAAAAATAATATTATTAAGAAACTGTTATAATACAGTTACTCCATATTACTTCCATGTGTGCGGACTAGTACAATTAATGTCCTAATTGTTAAGATTGTGATCTAGTGATTACTACTCTTCTAATACTTAAGACAGTTAATTCCAAGAGATGGGATACTTCATAGGCGTGTGTCTCATGACAAGGGTGTGTTCCATTGCAAGGGCATGATGTCACTGGGCAGATGTGATACTCCGTGTGCTTAGCATATTTTGGTTCCACTCGGATTGGATTTAAATACCCAATCCGGATACCTTTGTTCATCATCAACTATCTATTCAATATTTCTTTAACTTGTTAATGGACTCTCAACTCTCATTGCTCTATTGATTTAGTATGGTATTAGAGCAGATTCTATTCTTATTCAATGACGTTTGAGTCAAGACAAGCCAAGATAACGCTACCGCTTTGACTCTCTTCTGTGCTACTTGACAGAGCAATTATCAAAGATCGCAAAACCCCGTCAGTCTCCAATTTTGATCAAATTTGTTGAATAACTATCAATGTTGATCTTAAGCACTGGAGTAGCCCGAATTTCATAAATTCTTCAAAAGTTTGAGCAAAATTTTTAAAAATTCCTAAAATTCAAAATCGATTTCATGTATTATGTTTGTGCGCATATTGATTTATGAAATAATAATATTATTATGAAACTAATCTTGGAATTAAATTCAAGTTAACATAATTTGAATATAAATGAAGAATAAGTTTATTATAATTAAAATTACACCTAGTTATTTTGCTAACATGCTTATATAAGAAGTAAGATACAACTCGCATTGAATATTTTGTAATTTTTTGTTAATAATTTTGTTGTTTAGTGGACGCAATTCAAGAGTGGCAATTTATGTAAACTTGTTGTCGGCATTGTGTATGCATGTTATTTCAACATTCGCAGTTTGTGTTTATGAATTTTTGCATTTATGGTAACAATTGATATTAAGACTCAAGTATTAGAAATCCAAAATCAGAATCACATAATATTTATGTCATTTCGCAATCTAAGATCTGAAAATAATTTTAATGATAGTGGCGCAGAGCAAAGTAACAACCTTGGTAGCAACCTATTAATCAATGATTTTTGATGTAAAAAAATTTACAATTCAAACATTTGTGTGAAATCCATGAATATGTAATAGTGATGCAAGAAGCAAAACAAGTAAACAAAGAAAAGAAAACTCTTGAGACAAGTTAAGAATAAATTTGATAGAAAAAATAACTTGCTTGTAGAATTTAAAAAGCATTGCTATTAGAACGAATGAGTTGTATATGCTGCACGGATAAAATATTCAAAGGTTCAAAATAATGATTGTTGTAAAGACCTTGCAAGAAGTGCAGCATAGATTTTAAAAGCGGAAGCAGATCCGTGCGAGCGAAAAGAAGCGAAATCAATCTCACGCAACATCATCATGAAAAGCATAGTAAAAATTGCCTAAGTATCAAGAATAATGTTCGTGAATAATGCTGCTTTGTTGCGCAACGATGATAAAAAAGTTGTTGAAATCGTCAAGAGTCACGACATGCAAGTTCATTGTAGATGTTGACATTCAAATCCAATATGTATAATTTTTGAAAACAATCATAGCCAGGATTTGACATTCCCTCGGAAATAGGCCGATCATTTCCGGGACAAGGGGGGAAACGGGGGGACAATCGGAAGGAACCGGCTGAGCCCCTAAAAAGACTCGGGGTACACCCCGATTCTTTTTAGAGTAAACCCGGGGAAACCTCGGGTTTTACTATAAAAAAATTATTTTCTCGGCGTATTGCGTGGAAACCTACAGATAAAGGAGCACAGACTTCTTGGGACAGCCGAATAGCTTAGCGCTGCGGTGAGAGGCAGATTTCTTGGGACAGCCAAATAGCCAAGCGCTGTGGTGAGAGGCAAGGAGCGAGACAAGAGGGAAGAGGTTTTTTTTCTGCTTGCGTGCGCGCTTCTTACATTTTCAGTGCTGCTTTTGCTGGTCGAGAGCGAGGTAGGGAGGCTGGGGCAAAGAGAGGATGAGAGGGTGAGAGATGACTGACTTCAAAGGAACCCACCTCTTGATGCATACAGATAGAGTCTGTAGACCCGAAATCTTAAGCGCGCAGATGCAGCAGGAGCACAGACTTCGGAGGCATCCAACTCTTGATGCATGCGGACTGAAAGTCTATGTAATTGATATTTCAATTCAATTATTACGTGCATGTAAGCACCTCACTTATAAAATTGCAGTCATGCAATTAGAGTTTCCAAGAATGCATTCTCTTTGTACATAGAGTTTTCTTGAACTCTCTGAACTGGTTTTGACTCCTACTTCTCTTTGTATGTGTTTGTCCACGAAGATATTGCTTGAGATTTAGTCTGGACTTGTTCGATTGTGTACTGCTATTTACTAGCACTCACCAAAATGCGCACTTACATGCGTCTAAATAATGATGAGTATTCACCGCTCATGAGTTAGCCTGACACAGATTGTTTCGTGTTATAGAGTCTCCACAATCTGGATTTTTGAAGATTTCGATTCAAACAATGCGTTGAGTTGATTAGAAATACGTTCCATCCTCGTTTATTATTTCATTTAATTCGCTTCTTGTATCTTATTGCAATACTTTTGCGGCTTTACAATTCTTATTTTCTTGTCATAGTACTTACAAACAACTTGTCAAGTAGAGGAATTTCTAACCGCTTGATCATTTCATGCTAGCATTGCTCAGCCAGTGCAAGCTGGGTGGAGAATCCATGATGGTTAGGCTATGACAACGACATACTAATGAGTATAGTTTACCCTTGTCCAACTTCGTATTGGCCGGCACGTTGTTGTATTGCTTCACTCGGTTATTTGTGCAGTTTTCAAGTCGGAATCAATCGAATGATTATTGTATTACTGACTCCTCCGACTAGTATCTCTTGTACAATATTTGACTACAGAGAGTTGGTGGCTAACCTTTGATTGAAGAAAGTTGGTGGCTAAGCACTGTCAACGCCGGCTTGTTCCTGCAACATATGATATATTCGTCCTTACTTTCCAAGTTTTCTCTCTTCTTTTGTCGTATTTCGGAGGTCTGTGTTGCACCACCAAAACCCTTAATTTGGAATTTCAAAATTAGAGTAACTCAAGCAAAGGGGATTTTGCACAACTTCCTTGCGTTTTTTATATCAATTTTTGATAACGTTTTCTTTTTGTTAACATGGCATGTTGGAACGGTTGGAACGTTTTTATACCTTTGAATATCATAGGTTTTTTTATTTTTAATTCCAGATCCCTTCCAAGTAACTTCCTTGTCGTTTCATACATCTGAAATTATAGGTGACATGTTCAATTGTGCACAGCCATTCGCCACTTGTCCACTGATGTTCTGTATGCTGCTAGCAGAAAATTTTGTCGAAGATTTTCTTGGTGACTTTGAGTACTAAGTGCAAGTTCCATATTTGTCGTACCGGAATGTCGTCCAAGAAGTGAATGGCATCTGGTTTTACAACTCAAGGTAGTGTGAAAAAGTTGCAAAGCTCTTCTCTATGCATCATTTCTCTTCTTCTCATGCTCATCCACCTTCACACAAATGGTGTGGTCATGTTTACAGTCATAAGTCAAAGAATACTAATCAATGCAAATGTCTCCCTGACGACAAAGAAAATCATTGTTGACTGCAGGGGATGTCTTGTTCAAGACTTTGAATGTTATGCTGATTAATGTTATGCACTTTTTGTGTAGGATCCTAAATGCCTTCTCAAAAGTACCGCCAAAGCCTAAATTTTACGCTTTTCTTAGGTTATTTTCTATCGCAAAGTTCTTAACAAGCACTCAACGTGGCAGGCATTGATTTTTGTAGTACATGTTGATTTCTAAATTGATATTTTGGCTTGATATGGCACTGATGTGCTCCGACCTATGTAGATTTGGATCTTGGATGCTTCTCTTATATGTGTGACGAGTAATATTCGTTCACGAACCTTTGTATTTTTGAAGATA